CACACACACACACACACACACACACACACACACACACACACACACACTGATAGTATTCCCAGGCTCTACTGGAGCTCACGTTATAGACCAAGCTGGCCTCTGATTCAGAGATCTGCTTGCCTCTGTCTCCCCAGATTTGGGATCAAAAGCACACAAAAGGTGTGCCACCATGTTTAGCTCAATACCTATTTCTGATTAACAACACTCATGATAAAATTCAGCAAGCTAAAGACAGAAGAAACTTTCTTGATTTGTTTTAAAGTGTCTACTGGGAATCCCAGCAAAACTATTGTGATCACTAACCTCAGAGACTTTGAGCCTGCACTCTCTTACTGTCTCTGCTCAGGTGTGTGTGTAGATCCTAGCAAGAGCAGTGAGATCAGAAAGCACACTGAGGGTTTGGAAGGCATGAAACAACTATCACTACTCATAAGTGATAGGGAAATAGATTGTTAAAAGGAAACTTAAATAAAGCTGCTTACAAAATCATTGCATTGGGTCATTAATATTCTTCAAACCAGCACCAAAGAAATATAAAATGTAAACAGTGACCTTAGTAACTGCAGATGGACCCATGGAAAGATGGGGAATTTGAGTTGTCCAAAAGGCATTGTACCCACAGTACTTAAAACCCATTCAGTTCCAGGCGATTCAGGCTATCCAGGCAGAGCACCATGAAGTATAAGACAGTCTCATCTATGTAGAGATATGCCAGGAGCAATAAGAACATTTGAAAGTAGAATAACATTGGATTTAATTAGCAAAAAATATGGCCCGAACATGGAAAATGGTGCTATGAACAGCTTAGAAATCGTATTTTGTAATAAAGGTATTAAGGACACAAATGTCACAATTATATCTACAGATGAAGATACGTGTTGTGGGATATTTTAAGGTATGTTATATTTGTTTATGCTGTGAAACATTTGTTTTAATGATGCAAAGATGTGTTACATTATTTTATGTTGCATTTGTTTAACTCTGTGAAGCTCTGTTTCTGTGCCTGCCTAAAACACCTGATTGGTCTAATAAAGAGCTGAACGGCCAATAGGAAGGCAGGAGAAAGGATAGGTGGGACTGGTAGGCAGAGAGAATAAATAAAAGGAGAAATTTGGGGAGCAAGAGAGGTCAAGTAGCAAGAAAAGAAAGGGCCAGCCACCCAGCCAGCCATGAAGTAAGAGTGAAAGTAAAATTACAGAAGTAATAAAAGGAAAAGCCCAAAGGCAAAGGCTAAGTGGGATAATTTATGTTAAGGGAAGGTGGCAAGAAACAAGCCAAACTAAGGGCAGGCAGTCATTTATAAATAATAAGCCTCCATGTATTTATTTGGGAGCTGGTTCTCAGGCCCCCACAAGAGCCAAAAAGTAAAGAGTAAAAATAACCAACAACACACACACACAGGCGTATAATAGTGAAGGATAAGATGAGAGGTGTGCTCACATTATAAACAAAAATAAATTCCTAAGTGGTTTAAAGACCTAAATTTAAAAAAAAAAACAACAGCAAGAACTGAGTTTCACAAGAAAGGAAACTTTAAGATCAAGAGGGTTTCTTAGGAACAAAACAAAAAGCACAGTTTTTAAAGAAAAGATTAACAATTGTGATTCGTTTTTGCCAAATAAAGACAGCTGAAACAAACAGACAAAATATCTGCAAACCCTAGGCTAATGCTGGGTATCCCAGTGCAGACATGTTGGAGAATGAGTGGGTTGTTAAGGGGGATGCAGTCATGAGACCTAATCCTAACTCTAAGACTTTATTTCAGGAATGAGTTGTTGGGATCGATGATCACAGGATTAGTTATTTCAGGTGGGCTAGTTATTGCAAGGGTGAGGTTTTTACTTACTATAGGATGTGAGTTAATTACT